AAAAAAAAATTACATTTTTTTCCTCAATAATTCTACTTTTGAGAATCCCATAAAATGAATAAATCTTAATCTAGGAAGTGCTATCTGCATAAATATGGTCATTACAGAGTTGTTTAGAAAGAAGGAGATTGGAAATATCCTAAATGTTAAAAAAATAGTAATAATTAGGTAACGTTGTGTTAAACCAAAGCATATTCATTAGGGCAACATATTAAATAGCCATTCTAAAAGTATAAAGTCAAGGTTTAAATGCCTTTCCACCTACAATGAGTAAGATTCCCTTAAAGCAATATCTGATCCAAGTCTGAAACAGAGAAGGTATGAAGTGAGTCTAGAAAATCTTGTGTGAGAAAGAAAGTTTTACTTAAAGATTGATTATACCAAGTCAAAAGGACACAGGAACCTTTTGAAAAGGCTCCTATCAGCCAAATCTGTAACAATTTGAGAATTAGAAAGAATAATAAGCTAGGCACAGTAGTACGTGCCTGTAATCCCAGGGATTGGGGAGGCTGAGGCAGGAGGATAGCAAATTTGGGAACATCCTTAGCAACTTAGTGAGGCCCTAATAATTTAGTGAAAGCAACTTAGTGAAAGGCCCTAATAATTTAGGTAAAGCATCCCTGGGTTCAATCCCCAGTACTACTACTAATAATAATACCRTGATAGCAATGGATGTTGAATAAATTTTTTTWAAAAAAATTCAACTTATGGGGATAAGGGAAAGACTGTGGGCAGGGATGGTGATAAGAAAGATCTTCTTTATAGAAAAATGCCAGAATGCCAGCTAATAAGGGCAAAAGGAATGATAGACTAGCGTCACCATCTTGCAGTCCCCAGTGTAGTAACAAATATAAACAGATCATCAGGGAAGGCTTAAGATATTAGGTAAAATGTTGTTGGAAGCAAATAGCCAAAAAAGCCTCAGTACATCACCCCACAGCTCACTTGAAATAAAGTCAATTGGAGTGATTTGGTAGACTTCAGCTTAACCAAATTATCGAGTCTAGCATCCCAATAAAGGGACAAGTGGGCATTTCAGGACTATTAATGTGACACTCTGGGAAGTCCACAACATCTCCTATGTAGTGGTCTTTTCACAAATGTTTAATCTGAATTAAATCATGAACAAACATGAATGAACAAAATCATGTGGGACACTCTACATAACAATTAGCCTGAACACTTCAAAACCATAATGTCATGAAAAGCAAACCAGCAACAAAAGAAAGGSGGACTGTTTAAGATTAAAATAGACTAAAAGAACTTCACAAATGCAGCAGGAAACTATAAAAGACACATGAGAAAAATGGGAAACTTTCATATCATCCTTATAATGGACAACACTTTTAAATAAATGTTAAACTTCCTAAACGTGATAGGGGTTTTGTGGTCCTATAGAATTCCTATTCTTAAGAAATCTCTCTCTCTCTCTCTCTCTCTCTCTCTCTCTCTCTCTCACACACACACACACACACACACACACACACACACACACAGAGAGAGAGAAGAAAAAAAGAATAAATATGGCAAATATCTAAATTCAATGAATCTTGGAAAAACATGTACAGGTTTCCTCTGTGGGCTTTTGTTGTTGTTTGTTGTTTGGGTTTTGGTACCAGGGATTAAACCCAGGGCACTATGAGTTTCATCCCCAGATCTTGTTCTCATTTTGAGACAGACTCTCACTGAGTTGCTGAGGCTGGCCTCAAATTTGTGATCATCATGCCTCAGCCTCCCAAGTCACTTGGATTACGTACTTTTTTAATATTTATTTTTTAGTTTTAGGTGGACACAATATCTGTATTTTACATTTATGTGGTTCTGAGGATCTAACCCAGTGCCTCGTGCATGCTAGGTGAGCATTCTACAACTGAGCCACAATCCCAGCCCTTCACTGTACTTTCTTTGAACTTTTCTATAGGTTTAAAATTCCCCACCACCCCCAAATAAAATAATTCCCCCAAAATGGAAGGAAATAAAGGCTATATAACATGGGGAAATCACAATACAATGTTAAGGGAAAAAAAGAACATAAAGTTGTGTGTATACCACAATTACAACTATACAAAGCTAAGAATAAGAGAAATTACCTTTGTTTATTTCAACTTTGTTAAGCCAGTACCATGTTACAGGCTCTGTACTAAATGGTAGGAACTACTCCTGCTTCCCAACAGAATCCAACTCTACAGTGAAACACAATGTAAGGGTTTGGAGGAGTGTTACTGTGATGGCCTCCTCTCTGAATCCTTGGTTCCCATCAAAGTGCCTGCCCRCCCTGAGGTGCTCAACATTACCAGCTTCCAAGAGCTCACACTCTTCAGGGAAGGAAGCTTCATTAGTAACTTAAAACAACAGTAAGTGTATAATGCACACAAGACATTGTAATTTTAAAATTATCATTTAAGTCCTATCATTAGGGCTTTTTCCTTCCCTCTGAAATAATTTAACTTTGTTCCTGTTCTTCCCCACCAGGAATACTCTGCTTCCTTATAGTGCTGCTCCCCACCTTTATGCCTTCATTCAGCTCAAGGCTGGCACCCCTTTATTTCATCTGTCCAAATCCTACACAGCTCAGTTCTACCTCCTGCAGGAAGTCTGCAGACTTGATGGATTCCATTCCTTTGAGCTGTCATCAGTCTGACTCTGTTCTACTTTTTTTTTAATACCAGGGATTGAACCCAGGAATTCTTAACCACTGATCCACACCCCCAGCACCTTTCTTAATTTTTTATTTATTTATTTATTTTTAAATTACAAACAGGTCTTGCTAAATTGCTTAGGAGCTTGCTAAATTGCTGAGGCTGGCTTTGAACTTGCAATCCTCCTGCCTCAGCCTCCGGAGCTGCAAGTGTCACTGTACCCAACTCTGTACTACATGTGGCCTCATGTGATACCTTTCATTATAAATATTTTACAGTTTTATAAGCTAGTTCATATCCATCATCTCCCTTAATAACAATCACTATTTCCCTTTCCAGGAAAGGATGAGTGGCCTTGACCAAATATCTGTTTAGAGCCCACAACTGTTGACTCCTTATCAGTGATCTTTCTGTTCCTTCACACTTGATGACTGTGGAGACTCTCACATATGGATGATACCAGAAGAATAGTATTCTGGTATCATCTCTGTCCAGCTTTGCATCATTAGTTAATATTTTAAACTGCACATTTAAGAAACTTGTACATGTTACATTTTCTGTTGTACTTCATGGAACAAAGCACAATACCAGATTTTTCATTATCTTCTACAGTCCGATACTCAAAGTGTACTTGCTCTGGAGCCAGCAACATTTGTGTTACTTGAGAGCCTGTCAGAACTACAAAGTCTGGGATTGCACCCAAGCTAGACCTACAGAATCAGAATCTTCAATTTAACAAGATCCCCAGGAGACTCATGTTCACATTAAAGATTGAGAAGCATATATACACAACATGCCCTAGAATGTGACAAATATTTTGAGACTTGGAGCCCAGGGAAATCTAGAAAATTTGTAATTTTCCTATCACATCCTTCTCCCCCAGCTTTGAATTCCTTCCCTTTGGGACCTCACCTGGTTCTTTGCTCCCTCATAAGGCAGATATTAGCCTAAGAGTGGGGAGACACAGAGGCAATACTTAGCACAGGTTATGGTAAGGTGAGGCAAATATTTGTTGCCTTTAGGGCATAATACTTCTGGTGAGAAATTGGCTTTATTCCTAAGATAAAAATGCCTAGCACTTGAGTATCAGAGCCTCGAGAGGATAAGGGATTTGTGATAGACAACATTGGAACTGTTTCTAGACTTGATTTATTGACTTGTCTGTTTCCATTCTGTCACTAATCTGATTGACAATGAAACCCAGAATGTGGCTTGAGGGATTTCTGCGAGCGCGCGTGCTGCCTTCAGGGGCTGGGTGGGCCTTCTTGGGCAGGTGCGCCGGTAGGTTGGGGGTGTTTGCGCAAGGCTTSTTTGCTTGGGAGAAGGGCATATGTGGAAACCACAAGAAAGAAGTGGGTGTTTCTAAGGAGTTGATTATGATGTGCGAAGTGTCTGCCTGAATTGGAAAACAACGTAGATTTGGGTAAATGTAATTCAAGCAATGGAATAGGGGGAGGTACGTGGGGCTCCCGGGGTGGGGCAGTTATAGACACATTTTAGGAAACAGCTCCTAATCTCGCCCTCCCTAGACTTTCCCTTCTAGAAGGTTGTTCTCCCTGCGAGGCTTTGAGCCAAGGAAGAAGCGGAACAGAAGGAGCCCGAGGGCCTGAGGGCTCCCCTTTCTGCGTCTTGCACAAGCTGGAAGCAGAGGAAGGGGCGCGGATAGATATGGGTGCGCGCCCCACAAGCACGCGTGGTGACAAGTGGAGGATTCGCTTTCAGTCCAAGAGTCGCAACCTCCGCCCTGCGGTCGCCCACTGCCCACTTCACTTCTCTAGCTTCCACACAGGCTGGGAGCTGGCGGCCACCTCCCAGCGACCTCCTCCCGCGCAGAGGGAGGTCGACTCCGTTAGACAGCGGAGCCCCGCCCCTCCCTTGTTATTGACGAGCTCCGCCCCCTCCTGCCGCCCGGCGCAGCTCCGCCCCCTCCCCGCCGCCCGCCCCCGCCCCCCGCCCGGCTACAGTGCTCCCCTCGCTCAGTCTGGCTGGCCCCATGTTACTGAGCGGAGCTCCTCCTGCGGGCTCCGGCCCGGGGCCGCGGGCTCAGGGGGGCCCTGGAGGCGGCCCGGGGGGTTCCCGCCGGGGCGCTGGAGGTGCGGGAGCAGGCCCAGGAGGGGGCGGCAGCGGCGGAGTAGCGAAGTGGCTTCGAGAGCATCTGGGCTTCCGCGGGGGGAGCGGCGGAGGAGGTGGGGGCAAGCCGGCGCCCCCGGAGCCCGACTACCGTCCCCCTGCGCCTTCCCCGGCCGCGCCCCCCGCGCCGCCCCCAGACATTCTGGCCGCCTACAGGCTGCAGCGGGAGCGCGACTTCGAAGACCCCTACTCCGGGGGATCGTCCGGCTCCGTAGCCCTTGCCACCCCGGTAGCCCCTGGCCCCACGCCGCCCCCGCGCCACGGTTCGCCCCCCCACCGCCTTATTCGGGTTGAGACCCCTGGGCCCCCAGCTCCCCCTCCCGATGAGCGGATCTCTGGACCCCCATCCAGCAGCGATAGGGTGAGTGCCGCGCCGGGAGGGGGTGGCCAGGAGGGGAGTGGTTGAAGGTCTGGAGGTTGTGAGAGGGACAAAGGTGGCCTGGCCGGGTCTCTCGCTGTCACGGCTCCTGGCGGACACAAGCTTAGTCCCTGACCCTGGGGCTCAAGAGTCTTAACCCACCTTTGTTCAAATTCTCGACCTGCTAATCCGAGATGCCCCCCCCCCCMAACTCTGCTCCTATCCGTTGATGAGACCTCAGGACTAGTGACCCTCCCCCTCTTGGGTTCTGCTCTTGGTTTCGAAGCCCCCAGGGAGCCTGATCCTTGAGCTTTTATTCTAACGGGGATTGAAAAGCACACCACCCTCYTTGCTGGTTTATGGCCTTTCTGCCCCAAGAGCAGAAGCTTACTGCCCTTTGATCTCTGACCTCTCCCCCAGGGCAAAACCTGCACAAAGCTTTCTCCTCCTGTTTCTCCTCCTCCCCCTCTTCCTTCTCTCCTTTCTTTCCCTAGAGTCCAAGCATCCTTGCAGGTGCTGAAACCCCAGAACAGAGGTGAAGGCTGGGGTTTCTCCTTGTGGACCCTTTGCCTTACCCAGTGAGATTGGAACTGGACGCGCTGTTCTCAAGAGGCCAGGATGGGCCCTGTGCAGCTCTTACCAATGATGTTGACCACTGGGGTCCAGGCCTACTCCTTCTCTTGTTCCCCAAGGGCAGTCCCTCTTCAGGACCTGTTGCCTAGATAGGGCCAAGTAGCTGAGTCCATGCTTTCTCTCCTCCTGCCCTCCTTCTATCCAAGTCCATTTTGAGAGAGACTGGAGTGGTTTTATGGATCTGCAAGCACTGGGGTAGGAAGGAGAGCAGGGCAGTCACTGTGCCCCAGGACATCTACAGTGTCTTAGAGTCCTTCTACCCAGTCAAGGAGGGCCTTGGCCCTCCCTGACAGAGGAACAGTTGAAAGCCATGCCCAGGTCTCCCTAGCTCTAAATCCTAGGACCATGACTCCGTGAGCCACCCTGGCCCTCTTGTCCTTCTTTGTTAAACCCTAGGAACTCAGTTCTGGGGCTTATTTCCCTATTTTCAGCAGAGGAGAACATTTTTATTTTTATTTGATTGGAGAGCAAAGTTGTTGTCTAAATCCACTGGCTCCAGGATTGAGGCTTTCAGCCGAGAAAGTGCCTTTCTGCCCGATTTCCTGGATGAGAGAGATGTGTCAGGGTCAGAACAGAAGCCTCAGGAATGTGAATAATTTTTTTCAGTAGTTCCTGCCATGGGGCATGGCTGCCAATCGTGGGCCAGGATCCTTAGTCTGCAGAGGAAGATTCAAGGGTACTTTTTCCAGGCTATGCTGTTTCCTTCCTAATTGTCCCTGTCGTTGTGTGATGTGCTGGTGGCGGTGAGGCAGACTGGAGTACTAGGCCTTATTTTTACAGTGGATCAGTTAGTCTCCTCCTCTCTGACCACTGCCTGTTGGCATGTGGGCYTAAGCTGTCCTTGGCCCTTCTCCTCTCTGCAGTGGCTTAGAATGGCCTGACATGCTACCCACCAAGCTGTGGTTCCTCCTGGACAAGGACTGTGTTCTCCTAATATCTGAATCTCCCAAGTGTTTGACACAATGCTTGGCATAAAGAGGGGTGCATAAATATGTCCTGAATGGTGACTATACACTACCAGGGTGGACTGAGGGTCAGGGGCTGCCTAGTAGCAACCCTTACATGTTTTCCCAAAGATCTCTCAGTAAGGGACTGTACCCACTCAGTCATGTAGACAGACCCCTGGTTTCTTCATGCCTTCACTTGGGTCAGCTCTGTGATCTGTGGGCTGTTTAGACCTGGGGGGGCCAAGAGATGTCTGACTACTTTGTCAACCACAAGGACAGGAATGAAATCCAGCAGGCTCTCCCAGGAGCCACACAGTCTGTTGTTTCTTTAGTGGGTGTGATGAGAAGGACTCAGGATACCATCTGAACTGTCCTAAGGCCAAGGACACTGCCTCAGTGGGCCCTGACCTAGGGATTCCCACCACTTTAAGGAGTGCAGTTTGGGGGATTCCAGAGTCTTTCCCTAGGAAGAGCCCAAACAGGGTTCCTAAGCTCTTACACTAACCCCAGCTGTCTAAGCACCCCTTAGGCCTACTGAGTTACCTGCAGATGGCACACAAGATGTTTCCCCTAGATAGTGAGCACCCCTCTCTCCCTGTACCACCCCCCCCCCGCCCCTCCCCCCCCCCGCCCCTAATGAGCTAGTGTTTCTGTGGTGTGTGGCTGCTTTCTCCCTCCTCTCAGTTCTGCAGAGCCCTTTGACTTGTTGATTTGGGTTCTTTCCTTAGGTGAGATGGGGACTGGGGACCTGGATGTGCCTTGGACTGGCCTGTTCCTGTCCTTCTATTGAAGCCTGGCTACTTACTGCTGGAGGATGGGAGGGATCAGCACTCAGAGAGGGGTTGGTCATGAGGTTTGATGAAATGGGTGGAGGTACTTCTGTGATGAGACTAATGGTAAAGGAGCCTTGTGCATGTGGGGGCAGGAGAGAACAGGGACCTGGACAAGACCCTGAGAAACCCAGGGGGCTCAGGACCATAAGCTTTCTTCCCGGCCCACCCTGAAATCCACTGCTGTAGTTGGCAGGTGTGCAAGGGTGACCATCTGGGCAAGCCTGGCAGGGCAGGTGTGGGAGCAGCAGGAGTGGCGCCCTGCAAGGGGAAGGCAGGGCTCACCATCTGGCCACAGGAAATACTCTCCCTCTGGTGCTGGGCCCTTGTCCCGCCTCCAGGAGGTGCTCTGGCAGAGGAACACGAGATCAGGGCCTTCCCTTAATTTGCTCACATTTCTCTGAACTTCAATAGGAAAAACCTGGTGTAATGAGGAAAAGGGATGGATATGGAAATGGATGAAGCTCTGAGCTGCCTATGACCATCTGCACAGTATGTCCTTTGCCTCTGTCATGAAAAGATGTATGGGTTGGCGGGCAGGGAGTAACATGGCAATAAGATGGTCATGCATCCCATATTGAAACAAGTGCTCTTATTCTTAGCTTATGGCAGAGGTCCTAGGGTTCATGACCCTCTAGCAACTGTGTGTAAGTATATCCCATTTTTCTAGGGAAAGGCTTATAGCTCTCAGATTAGGGATTTATAGCTCCCAAAAATACAGTCTTAGCATTTAAAAACAGATATATCTTGTAGATGTAGTCCACATGGATTTGGATCTTCCAGGCTCCAATTTGGAAAGAAGCGAGCAGATAGGTAGAAAGAGAAAAATGAGGGAGGCAGTCGGGAGTGTCTGAAGTCCTGCTCCAAGATTAGGAGGCTGGCTAGAGGCCAGCAATGTAGGACCATTAGCCAGTGTTCATTGGGTGTACTATGTCATTAGGTGACATTGACCTAGATGCTTAAAGGGACACCTAGAAGAACTTGGTCCTTGCCTTTTTGTAGTTTGTTTGCTTTCATTTGCCTTCTATGGCCTCCATATAGTCTAGATGTCTGATCTGCTTATCTTGCATGCATTCTCTGATAGAAATAGAGGGAAGAGGAAAGTTGTAGGAAGGGGAGGGAGGAAATGGTAGAGGTTCAGGTAGAGAGATGTTTGAGGACTGGTTAGACAGCCCTCTGTAGCCTGGGCTGGCCATCTCTGCTACCATGGGTGCTTCAAGGATGGCTGAGACCTGTGGACTACTGAGGGATTATGTCTGGCCCTTCCACTCTACCCAGTACTGCGGGCATCACACTTTGGCTCTCATTCTGTCTGGAAGACATCTGTACTGGTTTGCTTGGCTAATATGTGACTCAGTCATGCCTCATCCCTGGCACTCTGCCTGTTGGGAACTAGGAACAGCTGGGACCCTGAGGACCATGAATTGCTGGCTGGGTCGAGCAAGCCCTGGCTGGGGTCCAAGACTTGAAGGGGTACCTACTGCATACTCCAGTTGCCCTCACCCCAGAACCAGCAAGATGTTATGTGAGAGTAAAGGTGGGGTCTAAACCCTGCATCCTATAGGCTTGTGGGTTCTCCCAGAGCACCCTGAGCCACTTTAATCTCTTGGAGCTTATTTTGTGTCTGTATGAGCTCCTGAGGATCCCAAAATATGGTCTATTACTCTTTAATGATATAGTGACTGACATTTACTGAGCACTTACTTTGTGCGGTACCATTTTGAAGCATCTGATAGGTATTAGATCAATTGATCCTTACAGCAATCCTAGGCCTGGGGCAGTGGCACACATATAATCCCAGCAGCTTGGGAGGCTGAGGCAGGAAGATCACAAGTTCAAAGCTAGCCTCAGCAGTTTAGTGAGGCTATAAGTAACTTAGAAAGATCCTGTCTCAAAAAAAGGGCTGGGGAGAGGCTAGAGTTGTGGCTCAGCAGTAGAGCACTTGCCTAGCATGTGTGATGCACTGGATTCGATCCTCAACACCACATAAAAAATAATAAATAAAATAAAGGTATTGTGTTCATCTATAACTAAAAATATTTTAAAATAAATAAATAAATAAAAGGTATTGTGTCCACCTACAACCAAAAAATATATATATATATTGAAAAAGGGGGGAGGGGTGCTGAGGATGTGGCTTAGTGGTTAAGCAATCCTGTAAGGAAGACTCTGTTACTATCCCTGGGTTATATATAGAGGAATGCAGCACAGGAATTTGAATGCATGATTTCTGAACTAGCAGGAAGAAAACCAAGCTTCACAGCCTGGAGGACTGACTCCAAACTGAGCACTATGCCTAGGCCCTCAGCACTGACCACCAGGTGCCCCACAGAGAAGAACTGTTCATGAAGCATATGCTAATGAACAAGGGGAGAGGATCCTTAGAGAAGAGATGAGGGGCATTTTTTGTGATAAATTCACCATGTTTTGAATCCTGGAGATTACCAATCCTGAGATGGTCCTAAGTATCTTAAGAGTTGGTAGCATCAGTCACATCTGTGACGTTTGAATGTTTTGTAAGCATGGCATTGCTCTTAGAATTAGAAAAGGAAAGTAACAAATCTCTTTCACAGTGAAGGAGTTTCACAGAGAAATAAAATAGGAGAGGGCATTCCAAGAAGTAGGAATATCAGCTACAAAAAGTTTGATCTTGGGAAAAGTAATCAAACTGATTGGTTAACAGTAAGGAAGGGTTCCCATGATTAAATATTTAGGGGAAATACTAAGTTAAACAAAAATTAGTTTGATTTATTTGCTGCAGAACTTCTCAGAGGTAAAGTTTTTTTGTTTCATTTTTTCTGTGTGGGGATTGAACCTGGAGCCTTGCAATGTTAGGCAAGTACTTTACTACTGAGCAATATTCTCAGCCCCTAAATTTTAAATTAAAATTTAAATCTACAAGTAAAGAAAAAAAAGATGCTAYATTTTTCAAAGTTTTAGAAAATCTGTCACAAGGTACTAAGAGTCAGGAGACCTGGGTTATAGTCTCGTCTGCACTGCTGACAAGCTGTGTGCCCTGGGAAGTACCTAAACTGTAAGGCCTTAATACCAGAATATGAAAGATTATTGTCAGAGCTAACACTTATAGAACACTCACCTCACTCAGGTGCCAGCCTGTGGACTATGAATTGTTACAAACTTATTTCCCTCTTCCCTACCCTCTGATATAGGTATGATTGTCATGCTCATTCAACAGCTAAAAAAGACAGATTTCCAGACATTAAATATAATATAATGTTCACTAAAGAAGTGACAGAAACGCAGTGTGGGTAGTTTGGGGACTGTGCAGAGCCAACATCCTGAAACATGTGCTCCTTGCTCTGCCTTGGACTTTTATCCCCTGGAGCCCCATGGGTAGGGACATGTTCTCATCCCAACTGCAGAGTGGAAGACAGAACCAGATGGTGGGCCTGCTGGCTACCTYAGGAGAGGCATGGGCAGGAAAGATGCAAAGTAGACAGCTGCTCTGGGAAGGGCACTGCCCATTTGAACAGAAGAGTAGCAGAGTCTTAGAAATAGCCTGCTGGGTTCGGAAAGGAGAGGGATATAGGGCCCTCTGGGTAGGAGCTGTTTTACCCACTAGTTTGAAAATATTTTTAGCATTTGAATAACATCTGGTTATACCAGAGGATATATGCCTAAATATCAATCCTGGTGTTGTGTACCTTTCCCAAAGACCTTTGGCTGACTGTCCCTCCCTCTGCCTTTGAGCTAGAGGCTTTGATCCTATTCTCCTGAGAGCCTAATGTTGCAGCCATTACTAGTCAGTCAGAGGTCAAAGTGAATGGGGATCTGGAAGTTGATGTCACTCCAGAGGATGTCGCCTGGGGAGAAGGAGGCCTTCTAGGCAGCCAGTAATTATGTCTTGAATGTACTCTGTGTGGAGGGCCCTGGGTTGGTTGGATGAAGGACACAGCAGTGGGGACATCAGAGGGGGCTGAGGGGCCACAAACAAAATAACAAATTGCGGTAGATCTGAAGTCTAGGGGGCAGGTTCTCCCACTGAGCAGTTCACCCTCACAGACTTAGAAACACTGTGGAAGTAGCCTGGGCTCTACTGGGTTCCTTGGTGCCCTTGTGGTTGCCACATCCTGCTAGCCTTCCCAGCTGGCATCTCTGCTGCTGCTCCCTTTCTGAGCCCTGTGGGTGGCTCTTCTGGGCACTCCAGCCCAGGGCGAGGGGCCAGGGCTTCCTGGAGCAGGGTGTGGAGCCAGGAGTGGAACAGAGGAGCCATTGAGCTGCCGGCAGAGCTGCCACCTGGTTGCCCACAGGCACTGGGGAGGCCCCCACCAGCCTGGGAGGGGTCGCAGCTCCAGGCACTAGCCCAGGATTCCAGTGGGAAGCTGGCTGCTGCAGCTCTGTCCATATGTAGTGAGGGATGGGTGAAGGGGCTCTGTGTAGTGGTGGGGTAGGAGGGCTTGCACTAGGATCCTCTGTTCACCAAGGGGTGCGGTTTCACTTGGAAAGACAGTCCTCCTTTATGACTCCACCCAGATTTATGCTTCCTCTCTATTCTGAATGAACAAAGAAAAGAGTTTCATTGTCCCTTCTTCCTGTTTTATGTGAATGGATGTAACAGATAATTACTAAGAGTTTACAGGCACTGGATATTTAGCAATAGACTTGGGCCCTGCCCTCAGGAAGCCCACAGTCTTCAGGAAGATGTCTATTAAAACAAATATTTACCACAGTGACAATAGCCCAGCACAGAGGCACCTCACAGGCAGACCTATGTGAGCATGGAAGAGTTTTCTAAAGAAAGAAAATAATGAGTAAGGGTTGGTCATGCCAGAAGGAATACAAAAGAGATCTAGGCAGAAGGAAGGCCACTGAGGTAGAAAAGAGCAGAGTGTTCAGGGAACAGTGATCCAGGGTTGGTAGAGAGAAACCACAGAGGAAAGTGGAATCTTACATCTCTGTTAACTGGATTTTTCTTAAAGCAAGAGAGCTATTGTAAGGTCTGAGGATAACCTGTCAGGTGATTCAGACCCTGTTGAGTAGCTGCCGCAGATGAGTGTGAGGCTGGGTGCTGCCTGGCAGAATTCCCAACAGTGGGCTGACTCTAGAGCGCCCTTGGTCAGGGGTGGGGTTGTGGGTGCCATTGGCCTGGGAAGAAGCAAGCAATAAGGTGCAGGTGACAGGAAAGTGGATTTCATATTTCTGCTTTCTGGAAAGAAGAGGACTAGGGGTGAAGAGCTACAAGGGAAGAAAGGAGGTGAAGGAGTAAAGATGTTTTTCCTAGTGCCTACTATATGCCAGCTGCTAATTGGAGCTGGAGAGACAAAAATGACAAAGCGCTCCATGCTGGTGGATGATCTGGTGGTGGTGGTTGCAGGGGCAGGGTGTGAGATGGGGTCATTCCAGAAGAAGGCGGAGATGCAGGGATGTAAAGGAACAAGGTGGGAGTGGAAGACCTGAGGGATGACATGTTAGCAGCCTTTGGGAACCTCAGAATCCTTTAGAGGGGCCATCAGGGGTTGAAGGAACTTGCCAAAGGGGTCTCTGGGAGTTTCCTTTCTCCATTTCTGCCTTTCTAGGGGTCACCATTCCTATATCCTTTCACCCAGGCCAGGGTGGTCATCCAGAGGGACTTCCAGCTCAGCTAGCTCCTACATCCCTGATCCAGCTCAGAACTAAAATCTACTCTCTGATTTGGGGRAAGGTAGGAGTGGCCCTTCCTCATAGCACAGGCCACAGAGCCACCTTGTGTAACCCAGTGATGTGGTACTCTTAGAGTGCTGACAGCCCTGAGTGGGTTGGGCTGTCTCCACCTCTGCTGGCCCATCAGGAAAAGCCCATACCTAGCTTGGAGAAAGACTCTATTGTCCTCAGCTGTGCCCTGCCCTGAGCATCTTGGGCACCTTGGGCACCTCTGCAGGGTGTGTAGCTTTTGGTTTGTTCTGCCTTGACTGGATATGGGGACAGAGATGTGGCCATGAGCCACTTGTATGGGATAGAGAGGCAGCTTGAAAAGTAGAGGGATAAGGTGGGGACTTTCTTGTCCCTGTCCCTTAGTACCAAGGGAATTTCAGCATAGCCTCAGGGCTTCCCCAAGCCATCTCTCTCCTAGGTCAGCTGAGATGCCCACTGATGTCAGGTTGGTGGCCCTTTGCACAAAGGGCATGAGTTCCAATCTATTTCCCCACTTACGCAGAATGGTCTTRGACATGTTACTCCCTAGCTGCCCTGGGCCTCCAGTGATAATGATACCCACATGACGGGGACATTGTGAGGATCAATCTATAGAACTGTGGCAAAGTGAGTATTCAGCTTTCCTTCCTTGAGGGCTGGCTTCTGTTTATATTTGTTCAACMTCTGGAAGTGCAGTGGTGGGCATGGACCATGCTAATCTCTGAGTTGCCTCACCATTCCCTGCTTGCTTTTTAAACTCTTCCAATACCATTGTAACCAGTTCTCTGAATTCATTCTCTCTGTTGAACCACTTGGTGTTAAGTTCTTGTCCAGCTTGGACCCTAAGGCATGGCACAATAACCTCACCCTGACCATTTAGGCTAGGACATGGTCCAGAGGCACAAAATCAGCAGAAAAGAAAGATGCATCACTGTGGCAGCCTATTTTAGGACCCTGCAAAGGAAGAGCGATAATTAGTCCCTATCTAAGCTCAGAAACTTCTCTTGGTAGCTGGGACTCTGGGTTTGAGGCAGCCTACCCAGGACTAGCATCAATGGATGGAGTTGGGAGAAGCAGACCTGCCTCAATTGTCTGAAGGCCCTGTCTTTGCTCTTTTCCCACAGTTGGCAATCCTAGAAGACTATGCGGACCCATTTGATGTTCAGGAAACTGGTGAAGGTTCGGCAGGACCTTCAGTAGCCCCAGAGAAGGTCCCTGAAAATGATGGCTACATGGAGCCCTATGAGGCTCAAAAGATGATGGCTGGTAAGTAACAGAGCGAAAGGGGAGGTGCTCCCTGAAGCCTGGCCTCTGTGAAACAGGCTCTGGGACCCCTCAAGTCTAAGGACTCCTTGGTCCCTAGAAAATATGGAGAAAGCYTTTGCCAGGTCCTTAGGAGTGATAGCCACTGCCTTCAAGGTAGTCTTTTTTGGAGGAGGAGCTGTGACTTCTGGCTCTGAGGCCATAGAGGAGGCCATGCAACCCAAGGTCAGATAGAGGCATTCAAGATAGGAAGGGCAAGATAGTGGTGAAAGGTCAAGGTTCCAAAAAGGAATCTAAAAAGATTTGAAAAGAGAATCATGAGCTTTTGAGAAGGGTGATGAATTTGAAAAATATTATATCAAAGTGAAACATCTTTATGGCATTAGAAACATGACTAGAAATATAGTGTAGGTGCCATGAGGCTGGGCAAAGAGTTAGGGTGGGGAGAAATGAACAAGACCTGGCCTTGGGGAAAAGAGGCCAAAAGAGGATCTGGAGACGGAGTCCAAATGGGAGTGATCAGAGAGAAAGACAATGATGGATCAGTCTAAACCAAGATTCAAGCCAGGGTGAGAGAATATTGATTTAGGGGAAAATACTGTCAGTCTTTGGGCATATTGGGAGTTAAGATGAGAAACCAAAGGGACAGTGAAGCACTTCAAAGGTAGGAATGAAGAGCTTGGATTTGGTTCATAAGGGGGAATAGAGTCACTATGAATTCTTGAGCAAGAAAGAAATGAGATAAACCATGGTGCAGTTGTGCATGGCCTGTAATTCCAGCACCTCAGGAGGCTGAGGCAGGAGGATTGCAAATTTAAGACCAGTCCTATCTCAAGATGAAAACTAAAAAAATAGAAAAATTAAAAAGGGCTGGGGATATAGTTCAGTGATAGAGAACTCTTGGGTTCAATTCCCAGACTAAGAAAAAAAAAAAAAAAGGTGGGGATAAATTGGGATTACTGAGGCTTCAGTGTGCAGAATGAACTGGAAGAACTGACATCAGTTCGTTGAGCAAAGTAAGTTAGCAAACTGGTATGGAAATTGCTGGAGTTTTAAGGACCAATACTTTAGATCTCTTTCTTCCTTTCCTGGGCTTGGGAATAATTGAGGAATAAGATTAAAGAAACAGATGGAGATTAAAATGTCTATTACTGATAAAGTTGATTGGAGAATATTAACTCGCTACAATCATCACAATGGGCTCCTTAACACTTTGCCACAGAATTAAACTTGCCCACTCAGACTTGGGCAACAAAGGACAGCCATAAGCCTCTACATGGAGGCAGGCCACTCACTGCAAGGAAAAAGTAGCCAAAGGCAGATCTAAGTAAGAGAATGAAAATTTACTAGCCAATCAAACTGCTCTTCCTCTGGAGAGGTAGGTAGGAGGCAGAGATCCTCTGGAGTATTATCCGAGGAGTATTGTTCCCAGGAACCCTGAAAACACAAGCCTGTGAAGTGGAGGTTCACCTTGGCAGTAATCTAGATATGTAAAGATGAGGGTGAAAATCATCAGGAATTGGCAATGAACCATTGGGATTTAGATAATGACAATGATGGGTCAGGTTCAAGGAAAATAGTATAGTGGACAGAAATGAAGAAAGTGAGAAGGTGGTACCTCCTTGAGGTCAGAGGGGTGTAGACTATGAATGCTCATATATATATATATGGTGGGGAGGATACCGGGGTCTGAACTCGGGAGCACTCAACCACAGAGCCACATCCCCAAACCTATTTTGAATTTTATTTAGAGACAGGGTCTGACTGAGTTGCTTAGTGCCTTGCTTTTGCTGAGTCTGGCTTTGAACCCGTGATCCTCCTGCCTCAGCCTCCCAAGACACTGGGACTATAGGGATGCGCCACCATGCCTGGCTATATACATATTTTTTAATAGTAGCTGTGTAGCTTTTAAAATCAGATTTTCAGTGGGGTCAGTGATCCTGAAAAGAGATTGACTAGTTTGGAGGAAGGTGGTGAGTTTGAAATGATATGATGTCAAAGCAAAACATCTTTTTGGCCATGGGTATATGACTAGATTATAGATGCAGTGGGAGCCATGAGACAAGTAGTTTAACAGTTAGGGTAGGAAAAAATGAATAAGACTTGACCTTGGAAAACAGACCAAGAGAGGATCCAGGAAGAGTCCAAATGGGAACGATTAGAGAAAAGACAATCCATGAAATTGATTTGTGGAAGAGGAAAGTTCACAGTGGGGTTGGTCAGCAGTGCCTGAGTAACAAAGAAGCGTTTCCTGGTTTTAGTGAAATAATATCACTTGGGATAGGAGGAAATGAATGGAGCTGGGCAATGAGGAGAAGATGAGGTAGGGGAGGACCATGACCCAGTTTCCTAAACATTTCAACTTCATCTGCCCAGTCTTGCTGACTGTCATGGGATCCTTTTTCTGCTTTTCAGTCTGATGCCTATGTGCCTCTGTCTTTCTTGGGTCCCCTGCTTGTAGAGCCCTGGAACTGTTTGACTTGGAGGGTTCCCCCTCTTTTTTCTCTTGGTGCTAGGGTTTGAGCCCAAGGCCTCATGCATTCCAGAAGTATTTTGAGGGTGAGGAACCCAGAATTTCTGGCTCCTGAGTTCTTCCAGAGCCAGGACATCTCCTTTGAAAGAGACCTGGCTCATGGTGAGGAGCATTGCTGGAGGAGGTGCCCTGGTCATAGGCATCTCTCCCTCCTTCTTGCCCTGGCAGAAATCCGAGGCTCCAAGGAGACCGCACCTCAGCCCCTGCCTCTGTATGACACACCCTATGAGCCAGAGGAGGAGGGGGCCTCCCCAGAGGGTGAGGGAGCCACTTGGCCCCGGGAGTCCCGCCTGCCTGAAGATGATGAGAGGCCCCCSGAGGAGTATGACCAGCCCTGGGAGTGGAAGAAGGAGCGGATTTCCAAAGCCTTTGCAGGTGAGTCTTGATGGGAAGGCAGATATGCTGGGGTTTCTGAGCAGCTTCTCAGACTCAGGAGAATGAAAGGAGTAGATCCCAGGAACCCAGGGAGGTCCAGGAATGGGTCTTCAGGGCAGAGTTGAGTTCTGTACCAAGGATAATGAGGACTCGGGCAGTGTAGACACACACTGAGCACAGGGTCAGGGAATGGAATGGGGAAAGGATGAAGGCATTTCCCTGCATCACCATCTCTCAGAGGACAAGGCCATTTCCATCTTTTAGGGGCTGGATATACTTAAAAATAAAGAAATTTCAATACAAAGCTTATAAAGCTTGTGGTGTATATTAAATACATTTAACAAAAGAGGGCATTTAATACTTCAGACAATGAAAATAGCTGTGGCAAAGTAACCTGAATTCTAGGACTGTGTCTTCCAGTGGTAGGCCCAGCCCCAGAGGGATCTCTGAGCTGCAGCGGAGGCTCTGAGAAATCCCCTAATTGCTGAATGAAGATCAGATTTCTCTTGTCCTAACCACACCATTGTTGGTTCCCAGTTGGGAGTCCACCATGGAAAAGTGCAGGTTGGCTGTCAGAGATGGGCAGAGGTGGGTGGAGCAAGACCCCCAGTAGGGAAAGGGCTTTCATTCCTGAACCTTTGAGGGCTTAAACGCCATTAGACTTCATTCTTGTTCCCATGTCCCCTCACTCCTCCTTGGACAAGAGGCTCATTCTGGAGCTGGACCCAGCCCTCCACTCTGCCCTCCCCACCCTGGCAGCCAGACTGGGAAACCTCAGTTTTCTAATTTGCTTCCTGTAAAGCACACACCATTGAGGATGGGCCATTTATCTCCAGAAGTCTCCTTGGAGAATCAATACTGTTTGGATTGCTTAATGGGAAAATCTATGCTGGTCATTAGGAAACCTCGTTAGCAGTCCTGCAGCCGAAGGTGGCGTCACTTTTCTTGAGGTTAGGAGGGGCATTACATTTCAAAAAACATCTGCCCCCAAGTCTGAGTGTTTCTGACAACCTGAAGCTAAGCTGTCACATTCTCACTGCCCAAGAATTCTCAGGCTGGGGGTGAAAGAAGAAGGGGAAGCAAGGCTGGGAATGTCAGGAGGCTGTGGAAGCCCGCATGTAGTACCAAAGGTGTGGGTAGCTCCTGATACCACTTTTTTTCCTTTTCTGGTCCCTTTGGGGATTGGCGGCTTAGATAGATCAAATGAATGGGGCCCATGGGGCTGGCAAAGAAAGACTATGTCCTGCTGCTTGCCACTAAAGCCTCCCAGGCTTTGACCAGACCAGCCTATAAGGGTGGTCAGTAGTTGTTCTGTCCAGCCCCTAAGTGAGTCCTCTTCCCTCCCCAGAAGCTGCCCTTGCCTCTGCTCTCCCCCTTCTCCTTTCTAGGCTGTCCTGTATCCTAGCTCTGGGTTTTGGTCTCAACCTCTGCCTCTTTCTCTGTCTCTGTCACTGTCTGTCTCTCTTCTTCCTTCTGCTACTGGCTCCAGTTGACATAAAGGTCATCAAAGACCTACCTTGGCCTCCGCCTGTGGGACAGCTGGACAGCAGCCCCTCCCTGCCTGACGGGGACAGGGACATCTCCGGTCCAGCCTCACCCCACCCTGAGCCCAGCCTGGAGGACAGCAGCGGTGGGTCCTGTGGGGGCTTCTGGCCAGGGTGACATGTCCTCACCTCTTAGACCCTGTGGGTTTGGGTTGGAGGAGCTGAGAAGTGGGGCAAGGTGTGGAGAATCCAGGAAGAATCCCTCTTGCCCTGGAGGGAGAGGGAAAAGATAAAATGCACATTCCTCCCTCCTCCCTCAGCATCTGTGGTGAAGTGTCTCCTTAGGGAGACCCCTTTCTAATATGTTCCCAACTGTGCCACAAAGATCTATTGTTTTTTAGTCGGCTTCTTTGGTTAGAGCTTTGCCTGATAGTGCAGACCCTTATGAGGCATGGGGGAGGTGCTGGCAGAGGAAGCTCTAACTGAATAAAGCAGAGGATCTGGTGACTGAAGGACAATAAAGGCTTAAAAGTGCTACAAGGAGAAAGAGCCTAAATACGAGGGTGGGGGKCAAGGTACTGAATTCACCTTCTGTGTTTAGTTTTGCCTAGAATGGGCACCCAAGAGTGTGTATGGACATATGTGTGTGCACACAGGTGTGAGCATCTGTTTGTACCCTTGTGCCTGAGAGTTGGAGGTCTTTTGTAAATGCAGGTGCATGTGTTCATATGGCCATATGACCCACTGGGGTGGCCCTCTCTTGTGCAGGCTAAGCGGTCATACTTCCCTGGTCTGGGACAGGCAGAGTCACCTCCCTGGGTTTCCATGGGTGGGGGAGGGGAGCCAGTGGGCAGCGACCTTGGGGTGGGGAGGGCAGGCTGTCTGGCGGCTTTGGGCAGGATTAGCCTGTCAGGATGGCACCAAGGGGAATCGGATAATTGTCTCAGATCGATAAGTCATTTCTACAAAATGGCTTGGCAGGGTGATTTGGAGAACGGTAATGAACTCTAAGGAGAAGAAAGAAACAATATTATCAGCGATGAAGCCACCCTGAGGGGGGTGGAAGAGGGGAAGGCAGTCAGAGGCTCCTGGGAGAGCATCTGAGTGGTTTCTGGTGTTGCTCCCCTCTATCACCTCCCTGTGTGGCCCTAGAGGCTACAYCTTCCCCCCACACACACCCAGGATGGGCCCAGGATGATGTTCCTAAAACTGGTCAGGACTGTGAGTGTGTACCACCCTTCCAGAACATGCATTTGGCTCCTTAAAGGCCTGGAGGAAATGGGGCAGGGTAGTGGCTTTTCAGTAGGGCACTACCTCTAGGGTCTTCAGAGGCCATGACCCCTGTGTTCCCTACAGCCCAATTTGAAGGAACRGAGAAGAGCTGCCTGTCACCTGGCCGGGAGGAGAAAGGGCGGCTACCTCCCCGACTCTCTGCAGGGAACCCCAAGTCAGCCAAGCCTCTAGGCCCAGAGCCCAGCAGCCCCCTGGGGGAGTGGACAGATCCAGCATTGCCTCTGGAAAACCAGGTGTGAGTGTCTGTGTCCAGCTGGGGACTCCCTCACCTCTCCTCCCTTCCTGTCACTGGCTTCCCTGCAGGGGACACCCACAAATGGGTGGACCTGGACAGCGAGGGACCCAGCAGGGATGCCCCCCTTCCTCTCTCTCATCCTCAGCTGGTACCACGGGGCCATCAGCCGAACAGACGCCGAGAACCTGCTCCGGCTATGCAAAGAGGCCAGCTATCTGGTGCGCAACAGTGAGACCAGCAAGAATGACTTCTCTCTCTCCCTCAAGTGAGTAGGGGATGCTGCGGGTGGGGGCACAATCCGTGGGGCAGGAAGAGACTCCAATATTCTCCCCCCATGCCCAGCAAAGCTGGAGAGGTTCCTATCCCCCTTGAACAACTGCTGACTCCATGGCAGGCATCCTGACATGTCTGAGACTCATTCCCTGCTCTCTCAGAGGAAACCAACAAGCTGCAGCATCCAGTTCAGAAGGGTTCTGTCATTCACCAGCTGTGTGGCCTAGGGCCCCCTTAACCTCTTCAGGCCTCAGTTGCCTTATAATAAAAAAGAATAATAATATTCATCTTATAGGGAAGGATTAAATGAAATAATATATGAGAAGCACTTAGCATGGTGCTCAATAAATTATCACCATCACCATTGTTAATGGAAGTACGAGATGTTCCAGAAGCACAGACAAGGAGATAGAAGAGCTTTGCCTGAGGGAGTCTCAAGGGTAAGATGGGGGGCTGGGGCTTGGGAGGAGGGCAGAGCAGTGGACACAGAGCTACTCCTGTTTACTCTGAGGAAGTATATGTTTGGGGCAGAGTCCTGGAAGAGCTAACAAAGGCTGGGCCCTCCCTTTCCATTAGCCATGCTCCCTAGGAGCAGATATGCACAGCCCAGCCTCAGCCTTCCAGGTTCCCTGGTGGACCAGCCAACCTTCCTCTTGGTGACCAGGAGTTCTATAGCCGACATAAGGCCGCTGTCCAGGGCTTCCCTGCTTCACCAGCAGACACCTACACCACTTCCTACTGCATTCTCTGGAGGCATTAGATAACAGGTATTATTCCCCCACCAACACCACCCCCACGCCTCCCAACTTTAAGTCAATCCAATTTGTGGAAATGTGGAATTACTGAACCTTATACATTTAGGGGAGGATTATTTAACTTTACTAAAAGATTGTGGGAAAAGTACCAAAGTATGGTTAAGTAACCTGAGTTCTCTTCTTGAGTTTGATAAAAACTGTGTGACCTTAGACAAATCACTTAACCTCCTGGCCTTGGTTTCTTCCTTTGCAAATGTCTTAAAACACTCAGATTCCTTAAAGCTGTCATATTCTAAAGGTCTGCAGATTACAAAACCAAAGGAGCACTTTGGAAAAATTCATTTGTCAAGATTTTGATATAGATAACTTTAGGTGGTATATTTCTTTAAAAATTATAGTTAAAATTTATGGAGCATACCCAAGCAGCATGTATACCATCTCCAAACCAACTACCATCTTGCCATTTAGATCTCTTTTATACACATAGATTCAAGAGGTTTGTGACTTGATCAAGGTCCCCAACAGGGAGGGGATGGTCATGCTCACCTATAGGCCCATCTATTCAGGAGAGAGGCTGAGGCAGGGGAATCAAAGACTGCCTCAGAACAGCAAGGTGCTAAGCAACTCAATGAGACCCTGTCTCTAAGTAAAATACAAAATAGGGCTGGGGATGTGACTTAGTGGTCGAGTGCCCCTGAGTTCAATCCCTGGTACTCCCCCCCCAAAAAAAAAACCACAGTTGGGCTGAATGGCTCCACCCCTCATCAAGTGCCATATGCCTGCAGTCTGTACTGTCCAGTGCAGGGAGAGACACCAGTGTCTGGCTCCCTGGAGTGGAACTAAGGAGTAGAGCTAAGCAGGAGTAGGGGGCTGCCTTTTACTGGGGAGTAAAGAGAAGAGGCCCTCCTGGACTCCTGCTCCAGCCCTGGCTGGTCAGGCCTCCCCAGCGTCTGTCTGCCAGAGCCTCGTTTGCATATAAATGGCTTCTCTGAAATACAATTATGGTTTCTCTTCTCTCCCTAATGGAAGGGCTTTCACTGGTAATTAAACAGCTTCCTCAAAAAGCCCTACTAGCCTTAGCCCTGTGGTTCAGCTGGTCCCACCCCAGCCCCACCCCCACCCCTGAGGGTCTGGCAAGGGCTTGGGTATGCTCCAGGTCCTAATGGACTCTTGGGACTTGTCTGGAAGGTTGAAAACATAGTCACCCCTCTCCCTGTGAGGTCGGTTATGCAGGTAGAGCTGAGATCTCTGGCCACTTGTTGCCCTTCTTGGCAAATCTGCCCCTTGAGGAGAAAATATAATGTACAGTTTTGGGGAGAGGCCCCCAAGTAGACTGGGAGAGGGGGTCATTTCCAAACTGGGAGAAGGTGAAGGAAGGCCTGGACCTTGGCATGGAGCACACAGGGGAGGGTGACTGCTCCCTGCCTTCCCTCTCCTATTCACAAGGGCTCTACTTGCCTCAGGACTCCTCCTCTCCAGGACTTGTGCAGTCAGTCAACCCCAGGCATTATTGCAGCTCCAGGATGACCTGACACACACCCTGGGGCCCCCAGCCTTCTCCCAGCAGGCTTCTAAGGCTTCAAGTACTGAGGGGAGGCAGGGATGGAGTTAGGGGTCTATTTTTCTCTCTTCAGTCTCCCCACTCCCTGATTTCTCACTTGTGGGCCTAGTGAAAAGGGTCCAGGCAGAGCCTTCTTTGCACCCAGGCAGAGAAGGCAAGCAGTATGCTTTTCAATCCTTACCTCTCAAAGAGTGAAGGCCTCTCAGGATGGAGGTTGTCCCCTTGATGTTTCTGCTTCCTACACTGGCTTCTTAGCCCTGTCCTTTTCCCCAAGTGGTCTCTGAGTAGGCAGCAGCAGCCAAGTCAAGCTTCAGGACTCCCCCAAACATTCCATTGCCTGTGGGTGAGCTTCAGACCTGTTGCCCAGCAGACCAAATCTGTGATAGTTTAGACAAACATTTTTGCTGGCATGGTTTTGCAATCTCTCTGAAACTCAAGAGTGCCCACCTGGACATTTAGAGCTGGCTAAAGTTTTGCACAATGGCATCCCTGTCTGGAGGGCAGGGCCAGCACCAATGCTGTTTTCCAGGGTGGTGCAGGGAGATGAGAGAGTCAGTGGAGCCCCTCCTCTTTAAGAAAGGGAACAGAGCTACAGCCTGGAGGTGATGTCATTCTAGGCCCAAGGGCTAGATGGATGAGTTGAGGCCTTGGCCTAAGGCCCAGATAGCAAGAGGGGGAAGGGATGTCCCCAGGAGGAGGCAGCTGAGCCTTCCTAGATTTGGGGGGGACTTCCAGAATCAGCTTGCTTTCTCCCCCAGTCTTTGCAAGGTAGAGCCCCAAACAAGATTTGGTTACCACATCTGTCCACCCACCTTCCTGCCAAGGGCATCTGTGGCTCCACATGAGTCATCAGGAGCCCTCACAGGTGTCATGCCATATAGCTCAGGAAGAATGAGGCTAAATTGGCCCTGGTTCCAAAATCTGAAGGGCAGGGGTGCTTGGATTCCAGGGCTGGGGGTACTGGTCACTCCACTTTGCACCTGCACACACCCTGTACACTCACTTTATACACAACATTTATATGTTACCTTGATCCAGTGCCTAATGCTACTTACCATACCAGCAAGAAACCCTCCACACCCCTGCTTTCTAGACTCCCATCATCTCCCACCCTCAGCTGGCTTGCATTAGGACTGGGAAAGGTTACTGGATGGCCAGGTGGGGGAACTGAGGAGAGTCCCCACTCACCAGGGTGTCTTTCCCTTCCCAGGAGCAGTCAGGGCTTCATGCACATGAAGCTCTCCCGGACCAAGGAACACAAGTATGTGCTGGGCCAGAACAGCCCACCCTTCAGCAGCGTCCCTGAAATCGTGCACCACTATGCCAGCCGCAAGCTGCCCATTAAGGGGGCCGAACATATGTCCCTGCTGTACCCTGTGGCCATCCGGACTCTGTAGATGTGAGGCCAGGGCACCATGATGGACCTGGACCCAGACCTGTCACCTGGCTGAAGGCAGTGGCTCTTCCCAGGGACATGAAACCTTTTTTCTCCTTGCCCTGGGATCTAGTAGACGCTGGAGGTTCCTTAATTTATTCTAAAGGGGAAAGGCTACTGGGGCCTTTGAATAAGGGGTTGGCTGGAGCTGGAGCTGGAGCAAACCCTGGAGAGAAAGGATAACCTCTGGAGGAAAGAGACTCCAGAGCTGCTGGTCTCCTGGGGAGTTTTAAGATTGGCATTTCCGGCCCCTTTCCAACCCAATGGAAGAGGTAGCCACCTTTCTCACCACCCTCTCCCTACTGGGTCAGTGCGGCGTGAAAAAGGACGCCGACCCTCTCTCCACCTCCATTTCCCCCTACCCCAAGCCACCCGAGGGATCCGCCTAGAGTCTGGTGCCGGGAGTGGGGAAGGCAAACGCCTGGGTAGGAGACGCCTGGGGGTGGGAGGGAGAGATGAGGGGAAGGGTTAGGGCTAGAGGGAACTGTGCAGTCCCCGGGCCGCCCCGGCTCCCGGCCAGAGGCAATAAATAAACCCGATCCTGCCAGGCACTGCCGCGTCCGCGCCTCCGGCGCTGCCCCCGGGTTGACGGGAGGGAACGGGAAGAGAGCACAGATTATGTTTATAAATCAGCTCTGGAGCCGACACAGGCCGGCTGTGAAAAGCACTTTCGAAACATCAAGTTCCTTCCTTTGACGAGATGTCAAAACATCCCCCTCCGCCCCTACCCGGGCTGGGGCTCCCAGGGCCCGCTGGCCACGAGGCGCCCCCTCCTCGCCGCACTGCCCAGCGGGGCTCTCCAAGAGCGCGTCCAATTTCCTGCCAACAGCCATTTGTCTGGGAGGAGGGGAGACGCGCAGAGACAAAGAGGCAGCGCGCCAGGCGGGAGGGAGTGGGGCGGCCCTGCCACGCGGAAGACGCGCGCCAGCGGAGGCGGGAAGGCGGCGGGGCGGACTGCGGGGGTCCAGCCTCGCATTCTTTCCGCAGTATTCTGGGGCTGGCCGCACCTCCCTTAGCCCCTGATTGACAGGGCAGTGCCTGGCAGCCTGTGGGCCTCGGCCCGAAGCTTCCCACCTAGGCTTTTGTCGCGGGGTTGGCCGTGGGCGCCCCCTGGTGGTGGTGCTTCGAACCATCCGCCCGGGACGTGGTGCCACCCACACCCGCAAGTTACCCTAGCGACGCCACTGCCCCCGCTGACTTCTGGAACCTGCCAACGCCTGTGGGCCCGGACCTTTAAAATACCCACTGGGCCGTGGGGCAGAGCGAAACTGCTGGCCGGCTCTCAGTTTCCACAAGACAACTGAACAGAAATTGGTGGACAAACACCTTAAGGAAAGGGCTCCCTGGGAGGGCAATTTGAGGACCTCTTCCACAACCCAAACATGCAGCTCCCAGTGCGCTGTGAATCACAGGACTTGGGAGTTTCTCATTCTTTTGATCTGTCAAAAGTAGGAAATCCGTGGAGACAAAAAGAATCACTTGAAATTGGGCATTGTTTCAGAAATTCCCTCATAGAAGGCTGCCCTATCTTGAGGTAGACTGGAGAGCATCAGTCATTTTGCATATGAAAACAGAGTCCTGAAGAGTTTAGGTGATGGGTTCATCTGTCTCCCAGCTGTCATCTCGCTGCCTGGAAGATCCATGTAGGCACAGGTGCCCCACTATCCGTTGCTCAAAGAGCAGCAGGGAAAGATGAGGTTTTAGAGCAAGCCAGGCCAACTCTGGCTTCCTATGGGGTCAGATTGTGTCCCGTCCCCCTTCCTTCTCTGCCAAGCCCACCTCCTCCAGAAACCCCACAGCCTTTCTCTGCTCCTCCTGATCAGGCTTCAGAAACTTCACACCAGCCACCCTGTGAGCTCAAACCAATAAGGGCACCCCTGGGCTGAGATAGGTTTCTCTGACTGGTACTTGGCCGTAAGTGGTTCCTTTATTCAGTGGATACTGGCAAGCTCAGAGAGATATCTGGACCAGCCTGGTGAGCCGGCTGGGTGAGTATTTTCCTCTGCCTATGCCTCACCCTATCCTGGGGCAGAATAAAGAAACCTTAAATGTGGAAAAGTGATTTATTTTTAAAAAACAGAGACAACTGGATCTGGGAGAAGAGGGCTGAAGAGCACTGCATAGATAGGTATCAGGCCTGGGTCTGACTACACTACATATTTTAAAACTTGAGAGAGAAGGTCAGTTGTGCTGTTAGGCTGGGATGCTGAGGGAAAGTTTGTAAATTTCAAATTTCTTGCTATGGATCCAGCCTCTACCCGCTCCAAGGCATTTGCCAGCCCTTTTGAAATTGGGGAGCCTAGAAGAGGGGGAGGTCAGGAGTGGGGAGGGTTGTAAGATGCCAGCATCTGTGTCCCCACTTCGTCTTTTGACTCATAGTCCCCTACACCCACCCGCTCTCACTCTCGCGCGCGCTCGCTCTCTCGCGCGCTCTCTCTCTCTCTCTCTCTCTCCTTGTAAGCTTGTCTTCTGAGTTGTGGTTTTGTTTAGTTTTCCTTAGTCTGGAAGAAGAGGCTTCACTGCCCCAAACCAATAGCTCCCTTACTTCCCAACCTCTAATTCCTAGATAGTGTCCCCGATTCTCCAGGCTGAGGCTCTTCCTGAGCCTAGAGAAACAGCACACATGTGATGATGACTGAGCCATCTGGACCAAGTTGGGAGGTCAAAATGAGGAGAGGGTTGAAGTATCCAGAAGCAGACAGGCCCAAACCTCTGCTTTGTCTGGCTRGGCAGTGGGCAGAGCCCCAGGGGATGTGGTCCTAGAAGTTCTCATAATGGTGGGAGAAATGAGTCCGGTCCTGCCTGTTGATGAGCTGACAGGCCTTTTCCACATTCTTGGTCATGCCAGGGGGACCACAGCTAAATACTCCGATCTTCCGAACCTATTTCAGAAGGAAGAGGTAAAGACTAGCACATTGTTCAGAGGCAAAAACAGCTCAGTGCTCACAAGGAGGGCCCGATCAGTGTTCAGTGGGATGGCTAGGTTCATGTTCATGGTGCAGGCTAGTTCCTGTTTTTTTTGGTTAAAGACCAGCAAGAGCCCTTCCAGTGCTCCTGATGAAGATTTACTTTGTATCATGCATGGTGAAATGTTTGTAAATCCAGCTTGGTTTGGGTATGTGCCAGACCAGTGTTTCTAAGAAGGGCTGGGTTAATTAATGTTCAACTTGAATGGTAGCTCAGTGTCTCATTGAGGTCTAGCCCAGTATTTAAGAGAGCAGTGGCTAGCCCAGTGTTCATGGTAAAGATTAGCTATGTCCAGGATGAAGGCTGACTCAGTATTAATGGAGAAAGTATCCCTAAGGTTATGCCAAGGACTAGCTTGATTACTGAGTTCTTGCTTTAGGACAGTGAATCATGGCTTAACAGTCAGTTAAGTCCCTATTGCCAGAATCCTCCCTTTAGCATTTAGGGTGACCTCCACATCTGTCCTTTTCCATTCCATTATCCCATCCCAGGGGATAGATTCTCATCAATAGCCAACTCTCTTCCTGATACAATAGGGGTTTGGGAGCTTTGCTCAGATCCCAGGCAATAAAGGTGAATACAACCTGGATATGAGGTGGACCAACCTGTGGGTGGACCTCCTGCAGGGAGTTGAAGAAAGGCTCAAAGGGGGGGCGGCCAAAGTGGGTGACAGAGCGCAGGCCCGTGAACAGACTCCGGTTCAGCACCTTCTGGAAGTGTCGCTCACAGATGTACTRGGGAGGSAGGGATGGAGGRAGGTCAYAGCCAGGCACACCAGGGTCAACTCTTAGCCCAAATGGTGGCTCACCTGGCCTGCCTGGCTGGCCCTGACCTTACCAACATGGTGGTCCTGAGATCAAACTTCTCAGCCAGCTGGGTGATGTAGATGTGCACAGACACCAGGTCCTGGCAGTCATTCTCCTCTACCTCCCTGATGATGTCAGCCAGCCACTCGAACTGCCGCTGGGTCCGTGTCACCCAGATGAAGTAGATCTGGGGGCACAAGCTGGAACTCAGGACCTCAGCTCAGGATCCCTGCATCCCAAGGTTCTCCTCATAGAACTCTTCCAGCCTTAGTCAGCTTATGCCTCTTCCCAGACAGCCTGGGTTCTGAAGGTCAGAGGTGGAGTTGCCCCAAGGGATGGAGAGGTAGAAGTAAGGTAGCCTGGAGCCAGACAAAAGGACCCTCTGCAATTGAGTGCTGAAGGTCGGTTAAGTGGCAAGCAGCAGTCTCAGACTGAGCCTGTCCTAGCACTCCCTCCAGTGAGCCCTGCTCTGGCCAGAAGCTGCTCACCAGAGGTTTCCCAGAGGGAGAGCTTCCAGCTGAGGGTTTTTTTTTGTTTTGTTTTGTTTTGTTTCTTTTCACAGAGCTGCCTCAGGGAAGGCCCACCTGCCTGAAAGGAATAGGAATGAACTCAAAGGCATTCTAGTGGGGGAGCTTACTCCAGCTTCTAAGGGGTAGAAGCTGGGCTAAGAGGTGTGAGTTAAGGAGCAGAGGCAGAGCTGGCACTGAATAGAGGAAGGGAGCTGTCACTCTCTGAGTGCTGACAGCATATGGGCTGGGCTTCTGCCCTCCACATTCCCGCACCCCTGACTCACCTGCCAGGCCCAGAGAGACAAGCAGGAGCCTGCCACTGGGTCTAGCCTGGAGTGAAGAGGCCCTGTGAAGAGGGGGCCTTAGGGCTTGGGCTGTGTTCCTGGGGCCAATCCCATCCACCAGCCCTGCCTTGCCACTCCTCCTCCTCTTCCTTTTGAGAGCTGAGTCAGTTTCTCTTATGCCCTACCCCAAACATGTCCTTCCCTCTCCCAGCTAACAATGCTCCAAAGGATGGCCTCCTTTGTAAGAAGGAATAGATTTGTTTAAGCCCTTCCAGTCCTTCTTGGAGAGAAACTCCCAGAAGCAAATCCTATGTGGATCACCCCATAACGGAGAGGAGTCCTTGGAAACCAAGCAGGAACCTGCAAGCATAGCAAACCCATTCTGTCCTTCAGGATCTGGGGATACTCTGCCACCTCCCCACCTACCATCAACCCCTGGATTCAGGCCAACCTGCCCTTGCCCATTGAATATACCAAGAACAAGGGGTCCAAGAAGAGAGGAGAGAGAAGCAAAGATGGGCCCAATGATGGAGGGAGTCGTAGCTGTGGGAAAGGGGCACTCACCTTCTTACAGAACACTTGGCAGCTGACTGATGACTTGAAGACTAGGTCTTTGAGAATGGAGGCAAAGGGGGTGACCCCAATGCCCCCTCCCACCAGCACTGACACCTCAAATTTATGCCACTCCTGGTGACCCTCTCCAAATGGTCCATCCAGGTACAGCTGTAGGGAGGGTAGTAGGTTCAAAAGGTTTTAAAGCCAGAAATGGTAAGCAAGGAAAGGCAGATAGGGTATGGAATGAGGGGAACGGGAGTGGGGGGGCAGTTGTGACAATATCTAGGGAAAAGGAGGGACACAGTGGGGAGTCTGGTGCTACAGGACCTAAGGGGACATGGGAACATGTGGCACATCTGGCCTGGATCTGAGCACCTTTGGGTATCTGGCACAGCTGTCACCCGTTGGGGGTGAGTAGATCTCCCTGAGGCGAGTGGTCCAGGGCCCGGCCACCCGGATATGCAGGCTGAGCGTGTCCTCATGGGGCGCAGAGGTCAGTGTGAAAGGGTGGTACTCAGTGGTCCCCAGAGCCAGGCAGGCAATCCG